TTTTAAGGACACCAGTCCTATTGGATTAGGGCCCCACCCCGATGACCTCATTTAACCCTAATTACCTCCATAAAGGGTATATTTCTAGATAGTGTCACATTGGGGGATTAGGGCTTTAACATAGGAGCTTGGAGAGACACAATTTAGTCTGTAATACATGGGAAGGGTCCAAGCAGAAGAATGGCGTGAGTCTGGTGGTCCTGTGGAAGTTAATTGCCCAATTAGAGGCCTCTTGCTGCATCTTGGGAAATGATAGTGGCCCGAATTAGCATGGTGGCTGTGGAGGGGAAGGGTTAGAGGCCTGTTTAGGGAAAAAAACGACTGGCCCTGCTGTGTCTCCTAGTTGTCTTTGGGAGTTTACTTATCTGTATCCTTCAGTAACCTGGAGGTCTAAGTGGTTCTGTTCCCCGGGTCTGGTGTAGCACGCTGTGCCTCAAAGGTGCTCACTGGCTGCTGAGTAAATGCTCACGTGTGTGCACGTGCTGGAGTGGGGGGCAGAATGTTTTCCAAATCCGTGCTGTAGACCAGGGGTCCTCAAACTTCTTAAACGGGGGCCAGTTCACTGTCCTTCAGACCATTGGAGAGCGTGCGCTGTGGGCCCGGGATGAGTCGGCTGCTAAGCAGGACAGGCAGCGGCGGCAAAAACACCTGGTGGGCTGGATAAATGTCCTAGGCAGGTGGCATGTGGCCCGTAGGCCATAGTTTGAGGACGCCTGCTGTAGCCAGTGCCTGCTTTCAGGGATCATGCCTTAGACCTGGACAGCTTCCTTATGTCACATGGGACTTCAAAGAGGTTATTTCTTCCTAATTTTTCTCTGATACTCTATAACGACAGAGCTAAGTTGTTCCCGTGTGTGTCTGTATCTCACACGCATACACACTCCAGAGAACCTGGGTTGAGGTCACGTCTTCACGCTCAGCCTACAGCTCCCTGCCTCTCTCTAACCCAGCCTGTGCAGCTCTGCCTGGGTGGCGGGTGGGTTGGTTACGCAACGCCTTGCTTGCTTTGGACCACAAACATGTGAGTTGTCGAATCCACTCCTTTGTTTTTGTTCACCTCCTCCCTCAACCTTAAAGGACTGGATGCAGTCTTAATACGGGAGACAAGCCCCAGATGCTTGGCAGTTTGGAAGCAACAATGAAAATGATTGTTTATAAAATGTGTCTATAGAATAAAATGGTAAATGTTATGTTTCACCACCATAAAAATATATTTCAATATGGTGTTTTCAGACTTTTCTTTCTTTTTCTTTTCTTTTTTTTTTTTTTTTTTGAGTCAGAGTCTCACTCTGTTGCCTGGGCTAGAGTGCCCTGGCTTCAGCCTAGCTCACAGCAACCTCAAGTGATTCTATTGCCTCAGCCTCCCGAGTAGCTGGGACTACAGGCCTGCACCACCACACCTGGCTAATTTTTTCTATATGTTTTTAGTTGGCCAATTAACTTCTTCCTATTTTTAGTAGAGACAGGCTCTCATTCTTGCTCAGGCTGGTTTCGAACTCCTGACCTTGTACCATCCACCTGGCTTGGCCTCCCAGAGTGCTAGGATTACAGGCGTGAGCCACTGTGCCTGGCCTAGACTTCTCAATATTTTATATACCCCCATAATGGAGAGATTGGATCCCATCTCTGCCACTCACTAGCTGAGCTCCAGCCTCCTTGCATGGGATGATAATACCTCCCTCTCGGGGCCGCCCTGCTCAAGGCATAGTGGGTGCTCATTAAATGGTAATCATTTTTATTATTTTTGTTCTGAAAGTTTTCTGGTGAAAGTTTTACCTGTAAGTTTAGGAATTTTAAAAGGAGTGTATTAAATCTAAATATTAGCTAAAGCATAGATGCCATTAGATTCGGAAACTACAAATGAGGCTAATTAGGTGCAAGTGAAATTCCAACAAATCATCATTTACAAACACACAGAGAATCCGGAAAGAGGGAATATGCTTTACACTTAAACTAAAAGTATACATGTCTACTAGACATTTGCATTTTGTACCAAAAGAAGAATAAAGAGACATGAATAGAATCATGCTCAGAGAACAAAAGATTTTGAAACTGAATATGTCTGTGCTTAAGTATGCTTATTAAGTATACTTATATTTTTAAGGGGATAATCTAATTTTTTTTTGCCTCCCAGTGAGGGGCAGATACATTTAAAAAGTAATTTTGTTGATGGGAACGCTTTAAGTGACAGATCCCGACCCCCTTCTATTTGCTATTGTAAATAACATTTTTCTAATTGTGAAATTAATAACTGACAATCACAGCTAATGTTTTTTTAAAAAAAGACACATAATATTTGTACATATTTGGGGAGCACATGGGATATTTTGTTACGTTCATAGAATGTGTAATGATCAAGTCAGGGTATTGAGGGTATCCATCACCTCCAGTATTTATCATTTTTGTGTTAGGAACTTTTTTTTTTTTTTTGAGACAGAGTCTCGCTTGTTGCCCAGGCTATAGTGAGTGCCGTGGGGTCAGCCTAGCTCTCAGCAACCTCAAACTCCTGGGCTCGAGTGATCCTTCTGCCTCAGCCTCCCGAGTAGCTGGGACTACAGGCATGCGCCACCATGCCCGGCTAATTTTATATATATATATATATATTAGTTGCCAATTAATTTCTTTCTATTTATAGTAGAGACGGGTCTCGCTCTTGCTCAGGCTGGTTTCGAACTCCTGACCTCGAGCAATCCGCCCGCCTCGGCCTCCCAGAGTGCTAGGATTACAGGCGTGAGCCACCGCGCCCGGCCTGTGTTAGGAACTTTTTAAGTCCTCTCCACTAACTATTTTGAGATATAGAATGCATTGTTAATGGTAATTACCTTGCTCTGCTATGGAACATTAGAACTTACTCCTCCTATCTGGCTATGTTTGTGCCCACTAACCAGCCTCTCTCCATCCCACCAGCCCCTCAGCACACATCCCCTTCTCAGCCTCAAGTATCTGTCATTCTACTCTCTACCTCTATGAGATCAATGTATGAGAGGCTGGGCATGGTGGCTCATGCCTGTAATCCCAGCACATTGGGAGGCTGAGACAGGAGGATCACTTGAGGTCAGGAGTTAGAGACCAGCCTGAGCAAGAGGGGAGACCCTGTCCCTACTAAAAATGGGAAAAATTAGCCAGTGTTGTGGTGTGCACCTGTAGTCCCAGCTACTCAGGAGGCTGAGGCAGGAGGATGGCTTTGAGCCCAGAAGTTTAAGGTTGCTGTGAGCGAGGCTCCTGCCACGGCACCCTAGCCCTAGCGACAGAGTAAGACTCTGTCTCAAAATAAATAAATTAATGAATTAAAATGATTTTTTTAAAAACCTGTTGCTAACAGCAGCTCACATGTATTTAGTGTTAACTGCACGCAAGCTTTGCACTTTGTAGACATTGGCTTGCTGAAACCTCCCACACCACCGAGATGAAGGTATTATTGTTATTCTTACTCTACGGTGGAGAAAACCAAACTCTGGGGTGTTAAATAACTTACACAATAATTATTAAAGTTTTGAAACAAAAATAACTGCTTCCCAAAAAAGAGATCCATGCTTTCCTTTTGTGTTATACTTTGTTACATATTTTAATTGAGTGTAAATTGCCTTGAGTGGAACTACTTAGCTGATTCCATGTTTTGCACCAAATCTAGCATCTTAGACATCTAAAATAATTTTTATACTCACAAGTGGACAACTAGGAAATTTTCAAGTATTTATATGATGATTTTTGTTTAGTTGTACTTAAAACAGTAAAAACCAGAAGCAACAAGGGCATACAATTGTCAATTGTGTAAATTAATTGTGGCATCCTCATACTGTGAGATAGTGTACAGCAATTTAGATCATAACTAGAAGAGTATTTAATGACATTGCCAAAGTCCAAGCATATTAAAAGCTGATTATAGTTCCAGTCATTTACACATTTATGTTCCAAAATTTCAACAATTGGCATGCATTATTGTGAGAGGTTGTATGCAACCTCAACTCAGTATATAGCCTACAGTAAGTACTCAATAAATATTAGCCATTATTTTTTCATGTATCTATTGGCTACTTGCTCAGGGTGGTCTCAAACTCCTGACCTCAAGTGATCCTCCTGCACCCAGCCTCCCAGAGTGCTAGGAATTAAAGGTGTGAGACACCACACCTGGCCCTGCTGTTAGTAATAATACCAAGCATGGAGCAGTGTGATACCTAAGTAAATAATGCCAGGCTACATGTCTGCCTTCAAGTAACCTGAGGTATTTGTGTAAATATTTCCCTAATATAAATAGAACTAAGGTTCTTGTCTCTTATATAGGGTCATCTTATAAAGTAAACACATACAAATTCTAGATAGAGCGAATGGGCAGTGGTAGGAGGAGAGAGGCTAGAGAGTGTTCCCAGAAGTCATTAGTAACATTTGAAGATCTAGGGTTGTATTTAACATGTGTCACAGAATAAAGCCTCAGAATATTAGCAGAAACCAGATATCTTAGGGCAGTGATTTTGCAACTTTGCTGGCAATCCACAGCAAGAAATTCAATTCCATTAACACCCACAGTGCAAATAAATGTGCAAATGTGTCAGTTTTGTAAAAACTGTTTTACCAAACAATACTTGCTCTTACTGTGTGTGCTGTCATCTGACATGTAGTCTGTTTCAATTTATTTTAACATTGGTTGTGACCCAATTTATTTCACTGGGTAAAGACTTCCAATTGGAAATACAGCTTTCAAGTATATTATACCCATCTTAAAAAACAAAAGGGGTTTGCAGCAACATATTTTTTTTCTTAGTTCTTTCCTAGGCATTTAATCAATACTGAATGGTCTTGTTCTTGCCTGTGAGTTAGGTTGAACTTTTGGGTCATTATTCAGAAATATTTATTGGTTAGTAAGATAATGTTCTGTTAAAAAGTGTTATACCTCTTACAGTGGTAAGAGGATACAGGCAGATTCAACCAAAAACCGGGCAAGAGCCGTAATTCACCCTGGCTTCTCTTTCTTTTCAACCAGGTAGTTCCAATTCACCAGCAGAATGAATACAGAAAGAGACTCGGAGACGACATTCGAGGAGGATTCCCAGCCCAATGACGAAGTGGTTCCCTACAGCGATGATGAAACAGAAGATGAGCTTGAAGACCAAGAGTCTACTGTTGAACCAGAGCAGATTCGAGCCAACAGGGAAGTGGAGGACAACCGGGAGCCATTCAGAAAAGGTAACCACGTGAGAGCCTGGCCACCGGTCACCGTGCTTGTAAATCCGCACTTCGGTCACGGCCACGTGTGCCAAAAATGACCGATCTGTTTCACGCCGTCTGGGAGGGTGGCATCTTTCTCTCCTCCTAGGTTGCAACTGAGAGTGGCGGATGGTCTTGGCTGAGTGCCCATCGTCCTCAGTCTGGCAGGGCTGGGAGACCATATCTGACAAGTTCTGCAGAGAGAATAGAAGGTCTTGGTTGTGTGGGCATATATGTTTTCATAGTAAGTTTTATTGATTATTGCACAAACACCACCTTGTTCAGCCAGCAAATAATCTAAGGCTAATTGGTTATCTGTTATTAGGTTGGCCAAAGATTAGGAGGTGAAGCCCAGTTCTTATGTGTTATATTTTTAAAGCCGAGTTGTATGTGCAAGGATTTGCATGTTACTAAACCCAGGAATTTAAAAAGTATATACATATCAGTCTTTGGGTGTAAATTATTTGTATTGTTCAATTGTTGGCATGTTATGTAATAACCACCCGTTAATACATTATTAACTAATTTGGAGCCCATTGTTAAGGAAATGATACCTGTGTGTGCGTATGTGTGCGTGCCCACATGCCCTCAAATGGATTAACAAGAGTAATATAACGGGATAATCCCTAAGTTGTGTTCAAAGAAATGTACTTTAACAAATCAACCAATCCATGCCACTTTTCTTTGTCTCCTCTTTCTTGGACCACCAGAGCATGGGGTGCCACTTAGCGACAGCAGCTTCTCAAAGATGTCCTAGACGTGTGGGCCCTTTGGGGAGTAAGATACAGTCCCCAAAGGACTCTGCATGTTTAGGGACGGGCACGCCGCTTCGAGCCTGTTAGTATTTTCAGCTTGTCTCTTCTTGTGCCCCTGCTACGTAAGAAGGGACTTTGAGGTGCCCTGCCTTTTGTTGGGTCATTTGTGAATACAGAATGGTGTGGGCTCTCTAGCAGGAGTTTTATGGCTTGCCACGAGGGATTTGTCATGTAGCAACCTGTGCCATCTGCCCAGAATCAGGCCAGCTTCAGGGGCAGGGTCTAGACCAGGGCTTGGCAAACTTCTTCTGCCAGAGAGCAAACGTCTTAGGCTTTGTGGGCCACACGGTCTCTGTCGAAGCCACTCTGCTCTGCCCGTGTTGAATGAAAGTGGCCGTAGACAGTCCGTCCCTCGGGGCAGCAGAACGTGGCTTACTTTTACCATTATGCTTTTTCCCCTGTGGCTTTTCTGTTTTATTTCCTACTGGTTCTCCCACCCTGGCAAACGTGGGCTTCTCTTGTGGCCACAAGGAAGCTGAGACTTTTCTCTTCAGACCCCAGATTTGCTCTAGATATCAGATCGAATATATTTTTCCTCCCATGGTCCCTTGAATGCCAGCCAAGTAGCTTTCGTTTCCCATTCCCAGAAGTCGCAGTGGTGGTGTTTTGGTTCCAGCTCCCCAGACACGCCTGCCTTGCTCGTGGCCTCCCTCGGAGTAACCTCAGGTTTCATCTGCTTTCCCTGAGATCTGTCGCTGCCGTTCTGCCCTCTCGGGTTTCCTGGAAGCCTCAGTTTGGCCCCATGCCAAGGCCTGTCCTCTCGGTTCTCCTCCTGGGTTCCGCCGCCTAGTTAAGCTGTTTTTCTCCAGCAGCTTTCACCTAGAAAGGGACACGCCACGGGAATCCCATTTCTGCAGTGATTCAGCCCGTTCTGGGGTAGGCAGACTCTCGGCATGGCCACCGCGTGTGTCCACGGGGCCCCGTCTCATCCAGACGTGGGGAGGCCATGGACCCCATGTACCTCGTTTGTCGTCCCCACCTTTCCATGTCAAACGTTTGGACATGCTAGACCTTAGTGTGGGTTTCTGCTTGTCATTTTGCATATTGAGCTGTTGCATATTGAGCTGAAGTGCTTGCTGCCCTGACGCAGAAGGTGCTAAAATTATGATACTTGGGTGAAACGAAAATGGAATGTCCACCAAAGTGAACAGGAAGAGATGGCCTCTGTCGTTAACAGGTCCAGGCAGGATCTTGGTGGGCTGGGGCCGAGGCTGAAGCAGCCCAGCAAGTTAGCAGGGGGGGTTCTACCTGGTTGCCCAAACCGTGAATAAAACATGTTTCTTCCTCATTCCTTCCCCGTGGCGCTGCTGAGCCTCGTATCACAATCTTGGAATCTCTGCCCTGTGCTGATATCTGATGGGTTGGCAGGAGAGTTGGCTCCGTGGGGGTGAGGGTGAACTCTGCTGTTGGCACTTGGTGCCACGCGACCAGATGCGTGGACCAGGACACGGCAGAGGGACCGGGCTTGGGTGCTTGCAGAAATGCCAGGGAGGCACGTAGTGGGCGGAAACTCTCACCTCTGTTTTTTTCCAGCTCTGCCTGCACATTCTGGCGGTCATATTTGCTGATTATATTTCTCGTAGATTTCTACCCTCATCATACAGGCAGTGAGGGAGCTCAGACTGGATCGTGGCTCTTCATAATCCTTTCCAAGGATAGTTTCTGTTCTTAGGGGATTTGCTTGGTTCTCACTTCTCCCAAAACCCCATGTCAAATGACTTTGCCTATGAGTTTTTTACAAAAAATTCTTATTCTGACACTTCTCTCTTCCCTTCCCAAGCACACAGAGGGCATTCAGTAAATGGTAGGCCCCTTTCCTCCCAGTTCATGTCTGCCCTGCAAAACGCCCCTTCTCCCTCCCATTCTTTCTCTCTGCCCCTCCCTCCTCTTCTCTCTATTTTTCCATGTTCTCATTTAGGCAATTTCCCAATTAAGGTTGCTGTCACTCTTACTTTTCTTTCTTTCTTTTTTTTTTTTATATCATTATCTGTCTGTCTTGACATTTTACATCCCAGATAATTTACTTCAAAGAGTCAGTTTTTTAAGACATCAGAGCGTGAGTCACCCCGTGAAGCACCATTGAGTGACACTGGAGGCTGGCACCTCCCCTCCCCCCACCCCCACCCCCGATCCAGCAGGGCAGGGCCTGAGAGTGCGTGAACTGCAGTCACTCCTTGAGTGATATCATCGTAGCATAGAAAGTTGGTTTTATTTTTTTTCTGAAGGAAGAAAATGCCCTCGCCCAACTGAGCTTTCCTGTTAAACAAGTGTTTTGAGAGACCCATTGAAAGTACTTTTCAGCTGAAGGGCCTTTGTTGTGCGCTGTGAGAACAAGCACAAACACGCTGTTAGAACGTGCCATGGAGGAAGGGATAAGCCCACAGATTTCACTCGAGTGACTTGACCCTTCGTTCAGTTTGAGCGGGGATTGGCACAGACGAGTTGGGGATGTTTTGGGTGCTAGGGGGTGAGCACTTTTGCTTCCTGATGAACACGGCAGAACAGTATTTCCCAGAATGTGTTCTGAGAGATACCATTAAATACTTTCGCCAAGAATCCTTCATCCCTCTCTAGAACCTAAGTGTCTTCCCCTAGCATAAAAGCATCCAAGAAGTTTGGGCTTTAAAGAAACCAGTTGAACTTTGTTCAGCCAGAGGTTCCTGAAGTCCCTGACTCCGGAATGCTGTTGGATCAGCTTCCCATCCACGAGCCTGGGGCTCCCAGACCAACTCCTTGGGCGATTCTGCTCCAGTCGCCAGTCGCCAGTCGGGAGCCAGCTCAGAGATGAGGTGGTTGGGAAGAAGTGAGCGCCCTGGAGAGAGTTTCTGGGCTGGTGCAGACTGGCTTGCTCCCCTGAGCCTGGGCGTGGAATGCGAGTGCTGCCTCTTGCCTCCTTGCAACTTGGTCTATTACCTCTGTCCCCTCCCGGCTCTGGCTGGCCTACAGGTGCATGCACAGCTTCCCTTCCTGCAGCAGCTTCCTGCCTGAATCCTGCTTGCTGCCTCGGCTGCTTTCCTGCCCCCCCGTTCTCATGGCCAATCTGGAAACCCATTTTATACCATCACATCCTCCCTTTCCCCTGGGCTCTTCCCTCTGTGGGCTGTCCCGCCACCATGCAGGTGACACTTGCCTACAGGTCACCCAGAACCCAGGTGCCAAGTCCAGTGAGCTTTTTACCAACTACCCTCTCCCGACCTCTTGCTTCCTCTGACATGTTTTCTCCTCTTGTGCGTCCTTCCCTCTGGCCTCTCTCCTGCCCTGCACCCATCCAATGTTCTCCCACTCCCAGTTTTTCCCTTAATATCTTTCACATCAAACCAAGGTGTCTCCCCTGCTCATCTGTCACCTCCTCTGCCATCTGTCTGTCATCAGATCTTCTTCCTGGTCCCTCTTCTGCCCCTTGGGATATTTGGGTTCTCCTGGCCCCCTTAGGCTAAAGCTTGGAGAGTCATTCTTTTTAACAGATCCTTTTCTCCCCAAATCCAAGTACAATGGATGAGTGGGTGGGTGGATTAATAAGTTTTCCCAGCAATCAGTTTGCCCACGTACTTAGAATGTTTTTGGTGATTTGGTGTCACCCTGCCTGTGCCATCTTATAGGGTTCTCCCTTTCATGCAGCTTTCTCCAGCATTCTTTCTTTGCAGACCTGTACACACTCGTGCTTGCCCCGCCCTTCCAGTGCCACAATGCCTTCCAGTGCCACAATGGCTCTCAGAGAAAACCTCAGACTGGCTCACAGATGGTTTAGCACACCTGCATCAGGTCTGGGCATACGTCTTTTCAAATAGAAAAGGCAGACACCTGATTTTATGGGAGAGTCCACCCATGCCCACACAATCAACAGCTAAAGCTTGCAGTAAAACCAGAAAGCCTCACGCATGCAGTGACTGGGACTGGGTCTTCTAATGGACTGACTGACAAAGGAGTCTGCGCTGGGCAGGGGTGGGGAAAGGCTTCCTCAGAAAGCAGCGTGCCCGAGCTACGATGTTGGGGGGACCCCACGCAGAGGCTCTGTGGCAGAAGCGAAGGTGGCATGCCAAGGCCGCGTGGAAGAACTGAAGTTAAGCTGGGGGAATGAGGATATCAGAAGAGAGAGGATTAGCATGAGTCTTAGTCTTTTCAGCAGCTATCCTGGTGCAATTTAAATAGAATGACTGGTTGTAG